CCCCCAACAGCTATTGTGCCGCACATAACAAGATTTCAAATAACTTTGAGCTGCTGCCATCTAAGTTTTCTAAATTTCTAATATAATCGTCTACCAAACATATATAGTGATACTTTTTGGATCTCTCCCCCATTTCTTTTATATCCCCCCCCCCTGGTCGACTTGGCAGTACTGTACTATTCTACATGTGAACAATAACCCGAATAGTATCATCTACAGTGATTACTACACATGCACACAAAGTGATTTCAAAAAAACTTCGAGATGCTTTTAAATTAACTAAGTCTTGTCAATTTTTAACACAATCATCCACAAAATATATTTGAGACTTTTTAAATCAATCCCCTCCCCCCTTATTTCAATGTTGAAACCTACTGTACTTATCCATACCGTACCGTACCGTATATAATTTTATATTTTCACCAATTGCATGGTTTTCATACAACCTGTCTGCTACTCAGTACTCGAGACAGTTTATGTGATATAGACCGTCGAAATACTCATGAGTTCTGACTGACTGGCTGAGTGGATGTGATCTTGGTCTAAGTTTTAATTGTTTAATTGTTGAGACATCTAATATTATTTGAACTTATGAAGATCAGTGCAGGCTTAGGGATTTGTTTTCCATGTTGCACAATTGTACCTGCTACAGTAATGCTCATTAAACTATAATAGGGTGAATTGCGGGCTTTAGCATAATTATGTCGGCAAACAAAGCTATGTTGGACTATCGATCTGATTGGTTATTACGGAGTTGTTTCATATTTAAGTGGTAAACCAGATGCTGAGCAGCCGAAGTCAACACTTACTTCAGCGGTAAAATTAGCACGTTACGAAGTCAATACATGCAGGTTTAATAAGGCTGAAAACTCCATAGATTTTGCTTTAACTGTTTAAGGGTCACCACAGAACAACGATTTGTAATATAAATATTGTTACACAAAATTTGAATGAACTTTTATTGGATATGGGGCAATCCCAAACGAAACAAGACAAACAACCAAAACGAAAGATGGAAAGATATGTTTTCCGTGATTGGGCAATGTAGCGTTGGAAAATCAGCCTTTATTAATTAACGCTATCAGAGGGTATGCACTCTTTATAGAACAGTAAGGGGGGGGGGGTAATTTAACAGGGCCGTGATTATCAGGGCATCCATTTTAGTCGGGTCTAATATTTTTGGGCTTATGTTCTGGAAGGGTCCCACGTTTTAAAGTTAAGTAACTACATTGGCCGTAATTACATACTTGGCCTTGTAAAACCCACTGATTTGAAAGCTAGGGCTGGATAGTGCCTAAACGAAGCCAATGGTGGCCATATTGATGTGACCACTACAAATCTGCTGTGGCGTTGGTGACATAGTAGAAGAGGTTCTTACAGTTTCTAGTTGTCGGTGAGAAAGGATAAACATTGTTTGAATAGAAATTTATCAACAGTGCATGGCAAGTCTCATCAATTCATGTCGTATTTAAAACGTTCTGAACATAGTTTATACTCATTAGAAGAGATGTGGGACGCTATATCTTTAATTAATTCACATCTACAAAATCCTTGAACAATTAGTTCTATTGAGTGAGATGCCAAAAAATTCTGATATTTACTCATACAGTACATGAACTTGTGTTTATTAGAGCTCGACAACTGGGCTCTGTAACTCGGTTGTTTAGTAAGAGCACTACATCGGAATCGCATAGCCGCAGGTTCGATTCCTGCCACAGAGCCTATAGGTGCATTTTTCGCAACTGTAAAATGTATAAGTTTACTAATTAGATGCTGCAGTTGCTCGCATCACTGCATCTGCGCAATGCATGTAAGCTGTTGAGATGCGAGTGTGATTGTGTGAACTCTAATTCATGGCAAGTGAAAACAAATAAATGTCGTTACCTCTATTTTAACTAGTATATATGGTATATAGTAAGACATGAGCTTGAAAAACACGATTGATGGTATAAGATAATCTCTGCTATATAATTGTGTGTTGAAATTACGACCACTATTAATTAATTTTCCAGGAAATATTAGCATAAGAAGAGATTCGAAACTAAAACCGAACACGGTATCAAGCTGTGCCTATCGTGTACATGCTATTTATTATTGTATAACTTTAAAGTCGAAGATTTGTGCGAATGAAGTTTTTTATTAGATATGGGGCAGTCGCAAACGAAGCAAGTCAAACAACCAACACGAAAAGATGGGAAAATACGTTTTGCCGTGGTTGGATCCAGTGGCGTTGGGAAATCGTCTTTTATTAACGCCATCAGAGGGTAAGAACTCTTTATATTTTAGTCAAAGGAATTCATGCATTTCAAGACATGTAGACATATTTGTGGTTGCATGCTTTAAACTATAGAAGGCACTCGGAGACTGTAATATTATACAAGTGGACTACACATCTCCGCCAGTGAAATGTATCAATTTACTGAATGGGCTAATTTCAGTTTACTCTTCCCGGCAAAGCAAGACAGATTTTCAATCCAATTTTCATCCAAATTTAACCGAAAATTTAATCACTTTGTCCTTCAACAATGTTCATTGGTCCCACAATTTTTTGTATTAATACGTTTGACGTTTATATATTTGAGACTAATGTTTATAATCGGCACAGTTTATAACCAATTAGAATCGAGTAAAACGACTACAATGATATTAATTTCAAACGTTTTAGTGCTTTCACTGATAGTGAGTGGGTTCCATTTACTAACAATTTATCATAACAAATGTCATCACTGCACACTAAAATTAGCCTAAGTAGCTATGCTATATGATGCAAATGCATATCAAAATTACATAGAGAATTGTAAAATTAAACGAGACTAACTTCTAAGTTGAAATTTGATTGAGATTCTGCCGTAGTCCTTGCAGAAACGAATAGGTCGCGTAAGATAGCAAGAATTGAGTCCCCACGAGGTCAGGCTGACAGGCTCTAAAGCCTGACAATTTCTGAAGGCTATGTATGGACAGTGAAGCCAAGGAATATATATACCACAATTTGGGCAGGGTTAACAATTGGCAGGATGGGATGTGACCTCTTCGCTTCTGCAAGTGCAACGGTAGAATCTCAATCAAACGTCAACTTAAAAGTAAGTCTCGTTTAATTTTACAATTCTACCTCGCACTTGCATCCACTTAGAGGTCACGTGAGATTTTAGAGCTCATAGGCTCCAGAAATCCTGAGTAAATCATGTTAGTACCAGCAGGTAGAAATGAACATTGAACAAATATTTATTGTGCAAAACATCAATATAAACCCAATTGTAACAGTTAAGTTTACTGTATTGTTTCTGGCAAGTTAATATTGCTTCAGATATGAATTATCTTTCTGGATGCTCTTGTTGTAATATTTACCAAACACCGAATCCGATCGCCAACCCGCTGCATGCCGAAGATATCCTGAATAGGTACATCAGCTGCTTTAGCAGCTGATGTGGATGCACTTCTTGTGCTGTGTGCATTAAAAACTTTGGTGTCTATGCCGGCATCTGACATAACCTGTTTAACCATCTGGCAATGGTGTCTTTAGATGCAGGGCCATGTGGTGCAGCATGACGCAGCAACAGTTGAGGGTTTTTCCTGGGAGGGCCTGCTCTCTGTAGGTATTCGTCCAGGATTGTGACAATACAAAGCCTGTCATCAAGCAGATAACGATGAAATTCAATTGGTTTCAGGTGATTACATGTGGGCTTGCTCTGTTTTAATAATTGGATAGTTTGTGTTCGTTGAGCAGAGACCAAAGAGTGAACTGTCTCAAATAACATGTCCGTGAAGGGCAGCTGTGCTGAACACAGGGCAGCATAATCTTTACCTATATCAGGTTTCATACCCATTTTCCGCTGCGTGTTTAGCTCATAGTTTACATGTATAAGTAAGGACAGAGCCTCAAGCCCCTGCCGTTTTATGACCTGCGTTTTCTCCATGTCGAGCGTTTTGTCGCCCATTGAAATGTCAACTAGGCGTGTGACAGGCAGGATTGCCTTCACAAGCATTTGTTGAAGGCCGAAATAATAATATTGAAGATCTCGTTTTTTCGTAAACTCACGGAGTCTACGCCATATGCCTGGGTTTACCCTTGTTGCTATAGCATGTTCGCAGTTAGCTGAGCGTGCTTGTCTGGCCAGTTTGTCTTTTACTGCCTGGTCAGCCATTTTAGTTCGGAACATTTTGTTTACAAGCTTCGCAAGTTGTGCGCTTTGTAAACTCTCACCAGGCATGTCTTCGGAGATGAATTCTTTGAGAAGCTCTTTGAGGGCTTGGTCATCAGAATTTTCCCCTTCTTCTTCGGGGACTAAGTCGTCTTGATCTTGACCTGCATGGAGCATGCGGTTAATCAATTCGTCGCAGTCGCCTTCGCCATCTTGGACGGCCTCAGAGACTGCGAAACAGAACACTGTCGTTTGGCGGGAACATGATTTTCTGCCGATTTTTCAGCCGCACGTTTGTTTGCTGTTTGAGTCTCCTTCACGGAAGGGGACTCCTGGTTTGACAGTCGTTCTGTTAGTTTAACTGTCGCTAGGGTCAAGGTGTTAATTTCGCGACTAGACGCTGCAGGCGTCTGTGAAGTTTCTGGCGGCATGGCCGCACTCTCTGTCTCGTCTTCGACTTCTTGTCCAAATAATTCTGCAGATAATTCCGCTTCGACGTCACCATCACGGTCACTATGTTCCTCCATCTTGTAAATTCTTCGACAAGGATCTTCTAATCAACTATTTTGTCCTTTACACAAACTCTTTTCCACAACCTCGCTGACGGTCCAACCTCGCACTGACCTCGTGGAGATTCAATTCTTGCTATCTCACGTGACCTATAAGTGCATGCAAGTGCGAGCTAGAATAATACATACATGGGTGCGCGGAAATACCAGATTTATTTCTCGTGTTGAACATTATAACACGAGAAATAAATCTGGTATTTCCAAGCACCCATATATTTTTCTGTTTATTATATAAAGGACAGTTTTTGAAAAGCGATATTTTTTTACAGAAAAGCGATAATTGAGGCAGATAACATAAATCGAGGTCATAATAATTCCTCATATCCTACGAGAACCGAATCCATGCAATAATTGTTTTATTATTTATTTGTCAGAATACACAAAAGAGGTCGGCGAACCATTCTCATGAGAAAGTCATTTGTATTTTTCCGGTTTTTGCATAAGCCGTATAAATTAGCGTGACGTCATAGCGTGTCACATTGTTTCTCAATATACCATGAAATTACGTCAAACGTGGTACATTTGTTTTCAATATTCCACGGCGATGTCATAACTCCAAATATGGGCAGCTACCGAGCGGATATGACGATTTCACCGACAGCTCTTAGCCAATCAGAACTCTTGAATTATTTTCAATTAAAAATAAATTCAAATATTAATCGTCAACAATAATTTTTCAACATGCATATATAGAATTGATGATGAAGACGAAAGTGCTGCAATGACAGACGTTATTGGGGCAAGATTTGAACCTGCTTGCTATACTTTTCCTGACAATCCAGAAATCGTGTTTACAGAACTAACAGGAATTGGCACACCAAGCTTTCCAAATCTCCAAATTTACTGTAAAAATTTTAGCTTGGAGACGTACGACACGTTTTTGATCTTGACCTCTACGAGGTTCACATACGTCGATCTTCACCTTGCGCAGAAAATCAAGTCTATGGGAAAATCGTTCTTCTTAATACGAACAAAAATTGACCTGGATGCATTTAACGAAAAACGAAAGAAACGTCCTGATAAGGAGAAGATGTTAAGAATGATTCGAGCTGATTTATATAAAAATGTAAAAGATCTTGGCATTCGTGAAGACGAGATCTTCCTTATTAGTAACTACGAAACAGATAGATGGGATTTTAAACGCCTGGTCGAAGCCATCCTGGAAAAGTTGTCTACCGGTCAAAAGGAAGCTTTAACCCTCTCGTTGAAGATTTTATCTCATGATGTTGAGAGAAAAAATGTCGATGTTTTAAAAGGTATGCTATTGTGAAGATAAATAGAATATTACATTAATTTTGTATTGTCAGCTATATAATTTGGCAGGCACTAAAACTGCAAAATACATAATAGTGCAGTGTTATGGTTATAAACTTGTGTTTTTGCCTTGATTATGATTAGAATTTCTATAGCGCAAATTTGCATGTGGATATGATCAAATGCGCTTTACCTGAAGTATTACGCTTACCTAATTACATACTTAGCCAGACTATTTTGTCTTTACAACAATTGTGATATTACTTTCTTAACTGTGTTTATCCTAACCCACCCTGTCAACTTTCCCTGTTCGAGAAAACGGAGCACCTGGAAAAAATCCACAATTTTCGGCAGAGCATTGACTGACTCTTTTCACATGAATCCGCGACAAGAATCCAACCAACGAACTCATGAAAGGCGCTTGCTCTGATGACTGCGCCACCACAGAGTATACAGAGGCGAAACTCGCGGCGATTCCTTTGTTCTTTGTGTCCCCGTGCCACGTCATTTCCACGCGCCACGCAAATTACTCTGGCAAGTGCCATTCGTCGTGTTTTCAGTCAAAAGCATAGGAAAAACACCGTTCGAAAGTAGAAAAATAAATATTTTTGCGAAGTTGCTCAACCAATCTTCATTTTGGGACTCAAATTTGAAAGATAAATGGTAAGTGGTTATTTTTATGTAAAAAGATATACGTTTATAGGCTAAATACAAAGAAAAAATAGTATAATACAAATTACAATCTCGGTGCTTGTGATGTTCTTGCCAAGAAGCAGATTCCCATTTCGCTAAATTATAAATGCGGGCCAAACGTATTGCTTTCCTGTCTTTTACATTAATAAGAAAGCATAGGTGCTGATTTGAAACACGTCCATCAGGTTCCATGCATGTAGCTTTGCGATTTGTGAGCAAAAATTAAAAGTTAAACTACCTATGTTTTTAATACTTTCTGTGCAACTAATAACCACATTCACAAATAAATTCTCCAGCAAAGAAACGTTTCTTTACGGATTGTTAATCCGCATTTGAAGGCATGCTTATGCCTTCAAAGGTCAGAGGTCTTTCACATGCAGAATGGCAGAGACTACTGTCATTGACATCCTTTGTCACAAAATTATGATGGCATATTGG